TAGTTCTTGATGTGTAGAATTCTCACCATCACGTAGTATCATCACAGAAAAAATCGCGAAAACCCGTGAGTATCCCATGAAATAAGATTTTCCCAAATTTTTTAACTTTATTTTATTGCCATACTTAATCTCTCAAGTAAGTAATGACTAATAAACCTCAGATTTCTCAGTTGAATCGGTAACTTTATTTGTTAATGAATTTCAGGTCTATCACATTTCATTTATTTACTCTACTCATTATACTAATCATTCTGCGAAAAATAAATCTTTATCCTCGTACTTTTTTGCAGTTGTTGCCAGACAGCGTTGATCCAATGGAACTCCTCTCGTATTTGGACCCGGACTTGAACACGCCACCATCAAGTGGCAGCAGTTCCGGGCATGCAAACACATCCACTAACGATGATATTCTTGCTCTGTTTGAATGAGTTCCTGAACTCACCGGCCACATTTGTGGAGTATGTGAGTGAACAAAAGTGTGATAAAAAATAAACATAGCGTGTTAATAATTATTATAAAAGAAGGTCTAAATCAAATATTTTAAACTGTATATTTTGTACATAACATTGAACATATGGCAGACACGAATTCACTCTGTTGGTTTGATCGGGTTATCCTCGTTGCTGGAGGACTAATTATGCTCAGGGTGATATCCTGAGAATTTAACGATGTGAATATTTTCATGAAGTCACTTTCAATTTGCTCATTTTGTATTTTTGGAATACAGAATATATTGCCACAAATCTAGTTTTATTACAGTGAAATTTGCAATGTAAATAAAATTAATGTAAAATATGAATATATTTGAAACGTTTCACTGCAATAAAAGTGAGGTTTCGAAAAAATTGTTCCTGTTGGGACAATTCAAACTAAATTTCGGATCAAATCGATGGAGTGAATCATGAAACGAAAATGGCCAGTCTAGCATAGTATTATTAGCTAAAATACACTTATAGTAGAAAATTTGGAACCAAAATTTAGGTACCTACTTTAGGACTGTTATCAGTCTTTTTTGCATCTGGATGTGCATAGGCTTCAAGTATTATATGCTGTTAAGAATTCTGTGAACCTTACAAATCAGACAGGACACTTTCAAGGAATCTAATAAAATCTCAAAAAGTAACCCAAATAATATCTAAAACCCCTCCAAAATCCCAATTGCATAATGACTGAACAAAATATTTAAGCAATAATTAAAATCCATTTTGACAGCTATTCAATTGAGGTTAACATCATTAATTAGGTATCTGACTCTAGCAAATGTCAACTGTCAAATATTAAAAGAGTTTATCGAAATTATGGCGATTTATGCCCTTCATAATCTTCTTATGTGTCATGTTATGTGATCCCAGTATTAATTTTTTTGTGTCATCACCAAGTAAAAACTGTTGAAAAAATAATAATAATTGTTCCTTTATTTCATTAAAATATTGAGACACAATGTTAACAGAAAAAGTGTCAAATACAATTTTTAAAAACATGCATTAAAAAAACAATTCCCAAAAAAGGGTAGACATAATTATATTGTAAAGAAAGAGAAATAAACTACATTTTAACTGATTCAGAGAGTAGGAAGGACTTTTAGGGTCTGTCACAAAAAATGAGGTGAATTGTCATCTTTCTCAAAAAGTTTATTTATCCATCAAGTATTGAGTGCTCTAAAAGGTGAAACTAACTTGGTTTTTTCTGTTGCTGGCTGAACTATAAGATATATCGAACATAATAGTTTTAAGAGGCATTGGTTGCAAAAACGGAAAAAATTGTATCATCTTCCTTGATGAAAAGAAAGCTGAAGCTCACGTAAGTTGCAGGGACATTTTCAAATTGCTTTTCTGGGAGCTTCATCCTGAGGATGAAAGCTACAGAGCAATTGTGATTCTAAAGATCTGGAGCGGGAATCGTTAAATCAATTTATTGTGAATACTGAAGCTAGTAAATATATTTCCTTAGAATTCTGAGTTTCACAAAACCTTTCGAAAACTTCACATTACACTCTTCCTTGTATTATATGTAGTTTGTACAGTAACACAAACCCCACATATAATATTTTTTATTGAGAACTCTGATAAGACTGTGATATAAAGTTTAATTGTAAGTAATTTTAACATATTCAATTATTGTACATTGAAATGGTTAAGCGTTATTAAAATTAGCGAGAAAATATTACGTTATATTGTGGATTTTGTGTAAGTATGATTTAAATTGGATGTGATAGAAAATATATTTTGGTGAGAAAATTATGAGTTTTATTTGCCTTAAACGTGTCTGTCTGACATTATCTGATGTAGGGTCCAAGTTCCTAACATAAATAAAGCGTTTCGAGGCAAACGTACAAGGTTCACAGGAATTTCGTACTTCTAAATGCCAACAAAATGAACTCATTCTAAAATTTAGACGAAATAGATGTCAATAATTTTTAATGTTATAAGTAGAGATGAATATTTATTTGAAGTTTACATTTAACAATTACACAATTAATTTTCAAGAACTGAACATTTTCTAGGAATTAATTATAATCAATTCCATTCCACAATCTTGAGATAAAACTCAACAAATCTTAGGCCATTGCACCTCCTGTAATATCGATTCAGGGACACACTGTATATATATTTTATTGTGGGTTTAACTTTTTTTAATTTTTTTTATAACTTCATTCGAGAATTTAAATAAGAATAGAATTCTGTTATCCCAGACCAAAAGAGTTAACACACATATCATTTGTTTGATATAATTTGGACCAATGCAATTCTGCGACAACATTAATTTAACATTAGGGATATTAGTAGAAAACACAGAAAGCTTATTATTGGCAGTTTTATATTCGTTTTATATGAAAATCCTATAAAATAGATTAAATTATTCAGTAGTGAAGAAGTCATATGGTTTTGCTAATTATTGTAAATATATTGTACATTTATTTAAGAAATATGTCTATGCATAAACCTTGTTTTTTTCTACACTTCTTTCTATTTTTTTATGGGGATTATTTTTATTTTCGTCATTTTCATTATTGTGCAGTACAAATCAAAGTTTATTTTTTAATCTAAACTTAGTCTTCTTGTGAATAATTTATGTTTAATTTAATTTTTTTAAACGTGTTATTCTATTTTATTATCAGTGTTTTGTGCAATGAATAAAAATGTAGACTGATAGTTTTTAACCAAATCACTTTGATTTTTTGTCCTACTTTTCCAACAACTGGAGGGATTGATTGAAGTTCCAAATATAACACTTGTTGGATGTTTCACAAAGCAATTATGGAACCTTTAACCTTTTTGGTGAATCTATCATTTTCAAACGGCATCTTTTTATCGCAGCTGAAGGTGGGTAAAGTAACTCCTATTCAAAAAAATAAAAATTATCGACATTAAAAAATTTCAGACCAGAATGGTTTCTGACAAAGTTTATTCGTTTTCAACATCAGAAATGAGGTCAGTCCAGTTGGGACTACCCCAGGGATCTATACTTGGGCTACTCTATTATAATCATGTGAATGAAAATGAAATACTACCACCACATCAACATGGATTTAGGCCAGGTCATAGTACTACTACTGCACTCTTGGGAATAACTGATGGAATTATAAATAATCTAGATAAACGTAAAACACAACTTTTATTGTCCATCGATTACAGCAAGGCCTTTGATACAATGAATCATCATTTAATGTGCACCAAAATGAAATACTTTGGCTTTGATAATATTGAATGCTTTCTAAATGATAGAACTCAACGTGTCTTCATGAAAGACATAAAATCGTCTGAACTTGGGGTAGCTCATGGCGCTCCCCAGGGATCAGTATTAGCTCCCCTTCTTTTCACTATATACACTTCAGATTTCTCAAAGGCCTTGAAAAAATTTCAAATACAAACATATGCAGATGACACAAATTTATTTTTTAGTGATAGAATCGAGTATATCATGAACCAACAAAGTTATTTGAATGAAGATATAAAAAAATTAATTGAAATATCCAAGGATCGTTCACTCACTATCAATACTACCAAATCAACAGCCATAATATTTGGAAGTGATAAAGATCGTCAGAGGGCCATAGACAATATATCTACAAGTTGATGATCAGTTGGTGATATATAGTGATTCGATAAAAATTTTAGGTTTGATAATTGATCACAATTTCAAACTTATAAAACATGTAAGTAATCTCATAGGACACTCTTATTCAATACCGAGAAAATTATATTCCAATAGACATTACCTTAATAAAAAAATTAAAATCACATTATGTGATTCACTTATATTATCGATATTCAACTATTGTGATATTGTTTATGGCCCATGTCTTGATTATCTAGCCCGCTCTAGAATACAGAGGGTCCAAAACGCGTGTACTCGGTTCATCTGTAATATCAAATATAGGAAGAATGTGACACCTCATATTAATGACATCGGATGGCTGAAAATGCATAATAGACGAGAGTTGCATCAAGTTTATTTCCTTTTCAAATTATTTTTTAATAAAATACCAGAAGATTTAATGAAAAAGCTCACTTCACGTCATCAAGTTCATAACAGATACCTCAGGACAGTTACCACACTTACCATACCCAAACAACTACCAGAATAAAACTGATGACAATCAAGTGATTGTTAATGACTGACTCTATTTTGAGAAACACCCATGATGCTGTTACATTCCTAGGCATTGAATGGATGAGAGTCTTTCTTGGGATGGGTACTGTGATCAACTAGTTTAAAAATTGAGCAACATAAACCAACTGGGCTGTTTATCATGCTCAGGTCGAATCTAGGTCGCGCTATAGTGTATGTCTATGGGGCAACTCTGCAATGAGCAAATATGTATCCATCCAACAAAATGCTATCCTACGCTGTTTGTTCAACGTTTCTCGACAGTATTCATGCAGAAACGTTTTCATTAACCACGAAATTGTAACTCAAGTTTGATTATACAGTGCATTTCTTTAATGTCCCCCTTCCCTTTTATTTTTTGAACGAGTCAACTCAAAAAATTGAAATTTAGGATAATGAAATTAATGAGGAATACTTTATTTTGAAGTGAAATTAACAGATGAAGCTTTCAAGATGGCGACTGGGCGTCATCTGGGAAAAAAATTAAATGGAAAGGGGAGTCTTGTGACATATCATTCTGAAGCTCCTGACGAATACTTCACAAACCTAGAATATGAAGTCAGTATTTTCACCTACTACAAAATGGCGGAACATTTAATAATTTCCTGAAGACAAACAAACACATTATTATCGATATTTCTAGAAATATTCCTTTTTATCTGCCATATGGCAATTCCAACAACTCGATGAGGTTTGTTAAGTTATTTTTTGTTTATAAAAACGACAAAAAATGTCAGTACGACAATGAACATCATTGTTCAGTTAGAAGATTCTCATTTAATTTTCGGTTTTACTAGTAGAAAGGTACCACGTCAACAATCTCTAAAATGGTCATAGGTATCATCCATACAAAATTAAAATGGTACACCAATTAACTGAAGATGACCCTGATCGAAGAACAGAATTATTCGAAATCATGACGGAAACCATTGCAAAGCATCCTACATATCTCCACAATATTTGTCATTATTAGAGTGACACCAACCCTCACGTTTTCCGGGAAACACATACCCAATATCCAGCAAAAATTAACGTTTGGGCAGGAATATTGGGAAGCCATATTGTAGGACCTCTATTTATTGATCAAAATTTAACAGGGGAACTGTTATTCGATGTAGATATTGTATTTCAACAAGATGGAGCACCACCACATTACTCCGGACAAGTAAGAAACTATTTGGATACTACTTTTCCCGGTCGTTGGATCGGCCGTCGAGGTCCTACAGAATTCCCAGCTCGCTCGCCAGATTTGACACCTTTGGACTTTTTTATGGGGCTATTTGAAGCAAAAAGGTTTACGAAACGAATATTTTGTAGAGATATTGACGTTAATATGTTGGAAAATGTTCGGCATGAAACATGGGATAGGCTGTTCATATGTATAGAAGTTCAAAATAGTAAGTAAGGTTAATAGCAATAAAACAAATGAACAGTACAAAAAAATTTGAAAGTTCGAAATAGTGCACATGTTGGCAATGCCGTAACTTGTCATCTTG